GAGGCTCCAGATTTTTTTTTTCAGAGGCAAGGGAATTGATTTCTAGTTAAACAAATGCAGCGATAACAACTGCATCATTTAAACTCTTCCCACTATACAGCACTTTGTGGCCGCAGAATGCAGTCAAATCTACTGTATGGGAAAGGTAGATGCTTCAACTCCAGCCTTCTGACCGTGACTTCTCATTGACAAGACAGCTGCCAGTGGTTGGTGGAGACTTGCGGGCCCACGTGCACCGACTCCATAGTCTAACCTCTGCTTATGTGCCTTCAGAAAAGGGGCTCTCCCACACCTGCAAGGTGATCGGTGTCTCTGAGGTTCCCCCGAAGTTTCCTGACACAGCCACACGGCCCTTCTGCAGGAGGAGCCACTGATAAGGTGGCAGATTTCACTCCTTTCCACGCCCCCCTCCGCCCGCCCGCCCGCCTGTCCACGCACAAGAAAGAGCAGAGACACGAGAGACCAGAGAAGTGGAGTTTGTTCCCACTCCAGCCCTGGAAATGTCACCTATGAGCTCCTCCCCAGATCCCTTCTATAGTTCACGAGGAAGCTGCCAGGGGTGGGGGGGCCCTGCCACCGCCTGCGGGAAGGTCACCAGCCTGCCAAACACGGCACCCTGCAGCTTCCCTGGAGTCTTGCCTGAAAACCAAGATTCACACTGCTCTTTCCCAAGTGGACTGCAAACTAAAGTGTTAACATCTCGTCTTGCTTCAGGTTTCTATGGTCTTAATATGGTGTCCAGGACAGGGTACTGGGCTTGAGGCCAGAAAACCTGATTGCTGCTCCTGTTTCTCCACTAAGTGATTCTGGCCAGGTACTGGGGTGGCCAAAAAGTCTGTTTAGTTTTTTTTCTGTAAAATAAAAGACACAGTTTTCATTTTCACCAATATCTTCATTGGTTTGGATATTTTGGGTATGTCGGTTATCTCCCACTATTGGCTTCTAGTGGGTAGAGGCTGGGAGTGCTGCTAAACGGCTTCCAATGCATAAGACAGCCCCACAGCAGAGACTTACTTGGCCAAAATGTCAACAGTACCAAGAAACTTCACAAACCATTTTTGACACATTCAATCAGTCATAGCACCTTCTCCATACACTGCACAAATCTTGTTTGTGTGTTTTAGTTGCATTTTTACCTCTCTTGGAATAATAAAGCATAATATGCTGAAAATGTTGCATATTTTCTTCCATGTTCTATATTAAAATGGTGGTACAAAAATTCATCAGTTCTGGTAAGTTTTTAAAAAATGCATGCTGATATGACAGCTGTCACAATACAATCTCACAAAACTGTTTTGGATGAAGTTAAAGACAACTAGCGCTACTGGAAGCATCACATGGAAAAAGATCAAATAAACTTTTTGGCCAACTCAATAGTTCCTCTGAGCCTCAGTTTCCCTTCTGTGGAAAGGGGTAAAACTCCTGCCCTGCCTGGCCCAGAGAACGGGCTTTGAGACTCCAGTGAGACAACGTGAGAAGAAACTCAGACACTGGGAAGACTTTTGCAAATGTGACGAAATGACACTATGACCGAATGCTTCTGTGGTTAAGTCCTTCCAAGGCAGGAACCATCTATCACCCCATTCAACAGATGGCTTACACGTGGCTTTTACACTTGACCTTCAGGAGCCTTGGAACTTGCATGTGCACCACTAATGTTATATAGATCAGGAATTTCTTCATTTCAAACTTTTTTCCATCAGGCATAAACAAAACATCCCTTTCTTTTCTCATTCAGGATCCAGGGGTCTTTCTGTGAAGTGACTGTCACTGCGAAGCCCTTTTGGGAGGCTGCAGTCCCCCCCTCAGTGTGGCTGGGACATGTCGTATCTGACCCAACTCCTCGAGGGCCAGCAACGACTGCATCTGCTTCTTCTTCCCCCTGTTCTCAGCCTCCCATTTAACTCCTTTCTAGGACCTCTGTATACATGTCCATGTGAGGCCCCTAAATACATTCTAAATTCTGCAAAGTCTCTGCAAATAAGATTTTATTTCCTGCATGCAGCAGTATGATCGGTCTCTTATGAAGCGAAGGAGCTTTTATATTTTTAATTTTCTTTCCACACAACAAACACTATTAATAACATTCGACTTTCTCCAGAGATGATATGGATTAAGCCAAATGGAAAGTTACCATGGCTACCATAGTGTTATTTTCGGCATGAGGAATTCATGCCAGGGAAGCAGCATACATACATGGTCGAGAACTGGAGCTTTATTTCAGCTTTGCTATCAGGCAATCAATCCCAATTTAATTTTGAAACTCTAATTGCAACGGAAACTAATTATGAGCAGCAAGACCTGAAACCCCTAATTAAAGTGGGAGCCAATAAAGTGATGCAGGTTGTCCTCGGGGCGGCACTGGCAGGAGAAGGGGTTCGGCACACATGGACTTTCTTTCCTAGGTGACTAAACAAAACAAGATGGAGAAACCCTAAGCTGGGTCTGAAGGCTTCTGTTTCGGGTGTGGGAGCAAGCAATTCAGGCCCCTCTCGCTGGGAAGATGCAACACACTAGGGCAGGGGCACAGCCCGGAGGGAAAGGAGGGTGTTTCTACCAACAGCCAACCACCCCGAGTGGCTGCGGTGGGGGGCGGGGAAGGGCCAGGCTGAAGGGGGCAGGTCCAGACCAACCCCGTACATTCCCGTGTCTTTCTACGCAGGCCTCAGAGGACGGAACGACAGAGCAGCAGGGGTAGCCAAATGGAATCTTGTCACTCAGGCCCAGATATTTAGGGGCTGTTTTCCTCACATACCAGATGCTGAGTCACACACTTTTCTGAATTAGCAGGAGTTGGCTCGTGAAAGAACTTCTATTGGAGTAGAGACCTACTGCCAATCCCTGAAGTGCACGCTTGCCTCTGGGTCCTCCCGGCCTATCTCTGACAGCCTTCAAACACTGCTAATGGCATGACTTCATCTGCCCTACGCCAGAGCGATCCATTTTTAGGCCAGAAACCACATGGTCCTCACATCACCCCACTGGGCTCCAGGATAAAAAGGGGCTCTTAAATCAGGGAGAGAACACTTTTAACCAATGATTAATTCCTCCCCCTCGTCCTTGACAAAGAGATAAAAAGGAACTTTGCTGCCCGGTTCGAAAGCTACTCTGAACACCGCAAGGGGGCGGGAAAATTAGAAGTGTATCCTCTTCCCCTTCAGTGTATATTTTTGTACAAAGGGGTCTTTCTCCCTTTAACGACTTTTCCTGAGAGTTGTTCTCAAAGCTTCACTGAGAAGAAAGCAGCAGCAGAACACAACCCCGTTGCAGCTTTTTCAACAGCCCTGGCCACATCAGTCCCTCCGGGGCAGGAGCTCCGCATCGGGGCGGGAAGAATTCCTTAGGAGCTTTCAGCCTCCTGTTTGTTTCCCACGACTGAGTGAGAGCCACAGTTCTACCGGGGCAGGCAGCATTTTCCAAGGCAGAAAAACTCCAAATCAGCGAGAGCCTGTATAAATCCTAATTCTTAGTGTTGTCCCAAGCAGGCAACACAGAACACAGGCCTCATCTTGAATGAGTCAAATGAGGTTCTCTGAACATTTTCAGTGAAAGAGTGGGTTGACATGTTATGCAAAACCTATGGTTCTGGTCTTGTAACAAAGGTTAAAAATGGGAGCAGTAAAAGGCAGTTCTGAATATGGAAATGTTGGGAGACCTGGCTGCAATTTGAAGGGAGCTATTTGGCAATTTCTCTACATTATACATGTTACTGACATAATGGGCCAGCAGATTAAGTGGAGAGAGGGGCTCAGCCACCTCACATTCATCATGAACGAGGGACGAGAGAGACAAAGAAGAGAAATAGCTTAATCTTATTAAGCTATTAATTTTATATCCCAGTAGCTTAATCTTAAGCTTAAGATTAAGCTACTGGGGTATAAAATTTCAGTGCAAGGAGACTGAAAGGGTCCTTACAGACTGTCCTCCCAGAACACAGATTCTGCATCCAGGGGAGACGCTCTGATGGGGGATTATGAAGATCATCAGTCAGAGAAGGTGCCTCTGTTGTCACAGCCAGCCAAGCAGGCTGCAAACTTTCTCCAGTGCCTTTCAGAAAACTGATGCTTTCAAGACCCCAAAAGAATTTTAGATGCGCCTTCGCCCCAAACCACACCTACCTTGACTCCAAGGAAAGACTTGCGGTGGTAGAAGCAGCACAGGGCTGCCGACAGTGCATGGAAGGCATTGCATTCTTTAGGCATCTTTCCGTCTCAGTCCCTGGACCACACACTTTCTTTAGGGTTAAAAGAAAAGGGGGCTGGGGGTACCAGCCCAGTCCCTCGGCGCTGCGGGCGGCTGTGCTGCGTGTGCCCGCCCGCACTCCAGCGGCCAGGGGCGTGAGCCAGCTTCTTCTCCCAGGCCGGGCTGGGACTCTTCCCCTCCGCTGAAGCCAATACGATCCACTCGCTCAATTCTGGCAGGCTGGTGTCCAGCCTGCCATGCACACACTGCCAGAAATTCTCATGTGACCAGGCTTGCTTTCTGATGAAATTCTAACCTCTCTCAGAAGAGGCTTTGGGCTTCAGCTGTCCCCTCCATGTGGAGACCGGCAGAAATCATTAGCCCCTCAGGCAGCCTTTTCTTCCCAGGGCTGAAGGCATTGGGAACCTGTTCTTAGAGGCTTTGTCTGTCTGCTCATCACCCCAGCACCTAGGGGTTAATGAAGCACATCACACTACCTTGTGACAAGACAGAGGCTCCTTTGAGAAAAGGACCTAAAGGTGACCAGGGTGTGACTTCCCCCTAGGAGTTATCCTAGAAGTCCTAAGGAACCCAGGTAGGACCTCTGTCCCCACTCTCCCAGTCCACCCCAGAGCTGTTTATTTTTCATTAGGATGCCCCTGGCAGCCAGCTTGCCGCTGATAACGCTGGCACAGCCCTCACTACTGGCAAAGCAACATTGCCTTTTGGTGTTTAATTAGCAAGTCTGTCAGCAAACAGCCTGGGCGCCCTTGTGCCCACTCCACCTGGCGTGCAGTCTATTGGGAGGATGGGGGACGGGCTGTGTAGACTCTTCCGACACGACTGTTTGTATCACTCTCTCCTTCACTTTAACTCGTCACTTCAGTGGCCCACTCTGCTTAACGCGGATCCAGCACTCGAACCTCACGCCCAACCTGGCCGAGCTCGTCTCTTCCTTGCTAAGATGCCGTCACCCCTACCAAGAGCCGCCTAACACCTTAGGGCAAAGTAATTGCCTTTCTTCTTTCCTTCTAGGAAGAATGGATGCTCAATGGTTCTGAGTTTTGGGGGGATTTTTAAAAAAAAAATCAAACTCAGGTTTCTGCCTGTAGCTCCTCCTTTCCTACTTTTCCAAAAATTAACTTTCTGTGGCTCTGGCCACTGAAAAATGGAATGTGTCCTGAAGCCTGCTAGAACTCCACACAGGCACAAACTTGCAACAAGGAAGAAGCAGAACCTAATCTGCCCAGAAAGGAGCAACTTGAGACCAGGTATGAGGAAGGTATGAAAAATATCCAATGGGATTAGTGTCAAACACTCAGGAGGCCTCGGCCTTTGGACCAGGCCTGTAAAAATAGAGAATTGTTTGCTCAATGCCTGGTGGGCAGCTTCTGTGCTTGTGTGAGAGCTATGGACGGAGATGGGGGTGGAGTCTCCCCACAGCCAATGCAGGGATAGGCCTACAGGGGTTCTACCCCCAGCGGCAACCGGGGGCTGGCTTCCTTCCTGTGCTCTCCCTCACTCTTTCTCCTCCCTGGTCCTGGAGGTGTGCAGTCCTGGGAACTCCTGCGTCCTGGGAAGGCCCCCGAGAACCCAGAAGCAAGTACCAAGGGCGGTAGAACTCATGGTTGGTTGGTTGGTTGTTTTTTTTCAGCTGGAGGGTCCTTAAGATGGTCAATAGATGGGCCAATACTGCCCTCTGAGGTCCTGGACTGTATCCATGAGGAAGCGTGTCTCTGCCCTCATTCCTATTTGATGGGGTTCGAAGGGCACGTCCACACGAGCAGCCAGGACCCATGACCCTGGCAGCTCTGTGGGGATGACTCATCAATCAGGCCGACAGCCACCAGGTAAGGGCTGGTTTCCCACTAGCTATTTCCCTTTCCCCCAGGCTAAGAAAGTCCCCAGGTGGCTAAAAAACCACTACCCCAGCCTCAGAAAAGGGAGAAAATCAGCTCCTTCAATCCTGCACAGAAATTCCATGACCTTAGTCATCAAAAGCCTTTGAATTCCAATACCTTACCCCCAGAAAACATGAGTGAAGTGCATTCCTGCAGGAAAATAGGCAAATAACTCAGGCATGTAAGTTACCTAGAATGATGAAGTCAAGTGTTCCTGGGCCAGAGTAAAAGCAAAACAAGCAAAGGCCAGGGCAGCACCACAACCCTGGCCCACCAAGCCTCTCCCCGCTTCCTCCAAGAAATGCCCCCAAAGTGCCCCCAAATTTGGTTCCATCAGGGTTAAAGAACAGGCTGATCTTATTAAGTAACTGTTTCTTAACCACTTTTATTTTTTTCCATACCAAAAATAATTTCTGATGCAACATTCGAGGGTTTTAATCAATTTTCTCCCAAAATGGCCAGGAGAGAGACTAAAATAACCTGTCATCATTGCAACCAAAGATGATAACTGCATGAATTCGTGAAGGGCCCTTCACTCACCCGTTATGCTTTTAAATGTTTCCCATCCACACTGATCAATTAATTCCCCCACTTTCTCCCCACAATGGTTATTCTATTCTTACACAAAGAAACCGAGGACCAGAATGGCATGTCACTCAGCAGAGAACACGGGACCAGGGACTCCAGCCTGGGACGGCAGAACCTGGTATCTGGTCACATGGAAACACAGGTAAGAGATTTTTAACGTCTTATAACTGAACCTATTACTCAGACGGCCTGTGAAAAGGTGGTGATTTGTTTGTTACACTGGGGCAGCGGTCACTCTCTGATGACTTAGTACATGTGCTTTAGGACCAGTCAAATCTGGATTCAGGGTTTTCCAGACACCATGTCCTTCTGGGGACGGGGCTCAGTGTCACGAATGCAGCTCTAGGACCCATGGACAGAGGGGCTGAGCCAGCAGCACTGGGCCGTGGGAAAGGTTCGTGCTCTTGAGCACCCCCTGCCCGCACCACCTGGGAGGCTCACTGCTCTGCACCAGTGGAAACACCTGTGAAAACAGCCAGGGCTGGGCAGCCAGTGGAGCCTTGAAGGAAATCCCTGTTCCCTCAGGTCAAATGTTGCCACCCGCCCTGGGGATGGGGGTGAAGCTGGCCGGAGGAAGGCTCCTGCACAAACGTTGCCTTCAGTGCCATTTCTCCTTGGGTAGTCCTGTACTAACCTGCCCTACGCAGTAACCATGGAAACAGGAGCTGCCTGCCAGCCATATTTCACAGACACATGCTCCCTGTCGGCAGCGTCCCTGGGGCTAAGAGAGGCTGAAAGCGAGTTCAAAGTCTCTTTCCCAAAGTGCCACGGTCCCTGCTAGGTCAGGCTCCCAGTGAGGTGGACCTGCTCTTGGAGATGGCATGGGGGGAGAGGCCTGTGCGGAGAATGGGCCTACCAGGCATCCGCTTTCCCCGGTCCAGGGAAACTGGGAAAACACGTGCCCATATCCCCCATGCCCCTTCCCAAAGCTGGCTCTGAATAGAGGCATTGGACCTTACATGCAGTGAGGTGCTCTGGGTTATTGTCAAGCAGCCCCAGGGACAGTGGCACTGCCCATGATGGATGGCAAGCTGTGACCAGAGAGCACTGGTCCAGGGCTGCAAGTGCTGGCTTGCCCCTGCCTGCAGGGACTCACTCATGCATCGGTGAGCACCAGTACTCATGGCCAAAGCGGCCCAGCCTCACAGTAACCACTGAGACTCTGCCTCTCCAGAAAGACGGGTCTTTCCTGGCTTTTTGTCTTTACTAAGCCTCAGTGACTGGGCTCTGGGGGGACAAAGGCAGCTTTAATGAGACAGGGAGGGACCGCTGCCAGTGCTGTTTCTCCTGGCGGCCTAGGAAGCAGGGAAGGAAGATTAGGAACAACTCGTACATCTCTGAGGACACCCTCTGCGGGCTCGGCAAGACCTGGGAAGCTGAGGGCCAGAAAAGGGCACATCTATCAGCAACCCTGCTTCCCAAAGCTCCCCAGTCACCTGGCCTGTCCATGGGACTCTGTGCACAGTAAACAGGGAGGCCAGGTGGCGGGGGAGGAGCTCGGTGTCTGAGAGGACACACCCTCGTGTAACAGGCGACTGCGCTGGGGGAGCAGAGCTGGAATGAGAGGCCTTCGGGGATGAGGTCACCTCCTCACTTCAGGCTCGGCAGCTACAAAGCTGTCCAAGACAGCTCAACACATTTTTCTATATGCAAATGTGATTTATTCCTTGCTCCAAAAAGGAATGCAAACTGGACTTGGAGAGAGGAGGGCAGGAAAGGCCGGCCCGGCTCTCTAGGCCACTTAGTGGACTGCTGTGGGTGAGACGCTGGCAGCGCTGGAGCACAGTGAGTTTATGAGGGTGCCACGCACCTCGGCCTGACAGTCCCCCACAGCCCTCCCGGGGGAACGGAGTATGGCTGTGAGCCGGGCTCCGGCCGGAACCCACGCTGCTCTGCCCAGCACACGAACGAGGAGACAGTACTCACAAACAGGCTTCTCTCTACAGGGTCTTCTGTCCTCCCACAAATTGCTATCCCTAATTAGCTGTCATAATTGTGTGACTGACAATATGAAGCAAATTCGGCGAGCGCTGACCCTGGCTTTGCTTTCTTGCATTATCACATACGGTTTCATCTCAGACATCCCCCCTGACCATCACCCTTTCCTGGTATCACCCCGGAAACCCCACAGTGTACGAGCCCCATTTCCTGTTTCCAGCATTAAGCCGAAGCGAAAAGAATGTGTATGGGGCGTAATTCCAACCTCTCGAACTACTCAGACTTGCTGGCGGTCTCAGCCTTCTTTAGAGTCTATGAAAATCATAGGCCCTCCTTCCAGAACAAAAGGCACATGCTGTAATGCTTTACATATAATTTCAGGGATTCCTGAGTGTCCTGCAGCCCATTCGGCACACCCCTGGGAGTCTGACCCACACAAGCTGATGCTCGTCCTCCTCCTACGCTTCCTTCTATCCCGCACCCCCCACTGCGCAGGCGCCAAACCCTGAGCAGTCATTCGTTTCTCTTGTCATCGTAGCTCCTACGTTTTCTTTGCTGTACACACTTCTAGATCCCCCTCCTCCCACTTTTGGTAAGTGTGAGCTACATAAGCAACTAACAACAGTGGCCCAAAGCCCCTCAGAGGCCCCTCCCATGCTGAGCGATGAACGAATAGGCTGAGGACGAAAAGGCTCCGCGGCGAACACCAGCTGCACTGCCTCCCGACTCCACTGCCAGGAGCTCTCCCACCTCACAAGCAGGTCTTCTGCAAAATCCCATCTTCCAAAGCCGAGCTGCAAGGCAGCAGGGTAGAGGGAGTGCCCGGCAGGCTTCAAATCACTGCACCACCAGCACGCCGGGTGACCTTGGGAAATTCCTTAACCTCTCTGAGCCTCAATTTGCTCCTCTGACTTGTGAGGTTTTTGTGAGGACCAGGTAAGATAGCATAAAGAAGAAACTGGCACCCAACCCACACTGGGCACTCAGCACACGGGAGCTTCCCTTCCCTTTCAAAGGAGAAGGCCACGCCCGCCTCCCCGCTGCCTCCTCCTGCAGGGCAAGAGCCCAACTGCACCCTAAATCTCAAGCGTTGGGCTACAGGAGCCATGCCCCAAGCCCCCGGCAGGCCCCCGCGGCACTACTGTGACTCTTAGACCTTGAAAAACAGGGGACAATGGGGAGGAGTTTAAGAAGTTCTTTTTTCAGGTCTTAAAATATATTTAACCTTAAAATTTTAAGATCACATATTAAAACTGCACATAAGCTCAGATGTCTCAGATGACTTCCTACTTGAGTCTTTGCTGTGTGCAGAGCTGTTCGTCCGCACGGACGGCCTGTGTGTGTGATGCACCTGCCCACGGGCCTCGCTGGGCACTGCCGGGTCTGTCCCAGCTACTGAGCTCTTCACACCCACCTGTTCCAGCCAGTTGGACTGGGGAGCCTGTGCCCCTGCCCCAGGTCCTGGGTCACACCCCTTCTTTCCACGGTCCCTACACCAACTTGGCTGCAGGACTGGGCTTCAGCCTATGCCCTGACTGGATGCCCTGCCCCCTGCACCCTCCCCTTGCCCAGCCCTCCAGGTTCTTGCCCCAGAACCAGATCTACCATGTGAGTGTTGAGTCCCAGGGGACCAACTGCATGTACCTGACTCAGTCACTGGCCCGTGTTCCTGGTCACTGATGCCAACCACTTCCAGAACTAGAACTGTGCCTGGCAGAGCCCCTGGGACCCGTGCTGGCCCTGCCCAGTGACTCTCCCTAGACCTTCTGTGTCCTCCCATATCCGCCTCCTGCCTGCACGGCCTCCTCTCCAGTCCCCAGTGTCAGGAATTGCCGAAGTTACAGTGTATTCTTCCAATGCCACTCCACACCCGCCACCCACCTAGAAAGGGGACCAAACAAATGTCGGAGTGGATGAAGCAGGCGTGGAAGAGTGCTCAAAAAGGCAGGAACCCTGGGGTGCAGGGTGGTCTGCGCCAGGGGCGGTGGGGGGGGAGTCAGGGCTAACTCCACCTGTTTCAGCCTTGAAAACTTGTCTAAGTAAAACAGCAAGTGATCTTATTAATTCCTTCTTCTCTATTTTCAAGCAAATTCCAGACACCTGAATGAAATATTTCTGTAGGAAAGGATCCTCTTCTCGTGGTCGTAAACTGATCACAAGCATTACCATCTGAGTGACACACTGGTTACCTCTGAGCCCTGCCCACAGGGCTGTGAGAGCCCATTCAGACCTGGAGTATTTAGCCTGGGGCCAGGGCCGGGTTGATCTCTATTTTTTGGTAGAGAAAAAAGCGAGGAGAGCACCCAGGTCATCGTGAGCAAAGACAGATGGAGCCTGCTGGCTACCTTGGACACAGTCAGGCGCCGGCAGGGCTGCGGTTGGTTAGATGGACACAAAGGCACCGAGGCGAGCAGCTTTAAACACCTGTGAGAGGAGAAGCCCTTCACCCAGCTGGCAGAAGGGCTTCATTTGCATACAATGCTTTACATTACCACTACGTGTAGAGTAGCTACAAAGTGTGACTCTGAGTAACCCCTCTCAACCACAGACTTCAGGGATGTGTTCCCAGAGACTGCACAGTCACGGAAACCTTTCTACCTTTCCACGGGGTCGGGGGTGGGGACGGGGCGGGAGGCTGCTCCAAGGAGCCATCACTCACCCCATATGAAAGGTCCACAGGAGCCAATGTTGATACAGAGCTTTCACCACAGTGTCTCATTTAGTACTCACACTAGGAGACACGTATTATTATCTCCATTACACATGTGAGGTTACACAGTTCTTAGAGTTAATAATTAAAACAACTATGACTCAGAGTGGCTGGATCTATCGGCTATGATAATGGAAGCATGGATTCCATCCGGTTGCCCCGAGTACCTTATCTTGTGCAAATCCAAAAGGCAGGATTGTGGCTGCTGCAGCAACTCCTCCCTGCTACTGAGTACGGATATTCTGGGCAACACACAGTGGGACTTACCCGAACTATCCCCAGGCAGAGATCCTAGTCCATTCATTGCTGACGGGAAAGGGCAGAGACAGACGGATGCTGAGGCCAGAGTGTGAGGAAAGCCAGGATGCAGCGAAACCTATAGCACTGGCAGTGGCTGGAGAGCTAAGGGGCCTCCACTGTCTTAAATGGACTCATGGACGGGGCCCATTTCTCCACAGGGAAAGGCAGAGGGTGCGCTGCCTGGGAAGAACTGTGTTGATTACCAGCCAGATTCTCCACGTCCTACAGTCGTCAGCTGCCAAGCACTAAGCCACCTACAGAAGTGACACCCAGATGGTCAACATTCCTGGTGCCCAAGGTGCAGGTAACAGGTTCTTTCTGTCAGTGGTTCAAAGGACAGCACAACGTCAGGCCGTGCAGTATGGCCCAGAGGAGTTGGAGGGCAGGGTGGGGGAAAGAGAGTTACCAGGGACGACAGCAGCAGGGACTCACCTGGACACACTCTAGGCAGCCGCACCGGCCTTGCAGTTGGCCTGCTTGTGACAACACGTGTGGGACTTTTTCCAATGCCAAACTCTAAGGGGAATCCTCTCTGCCCTGCCCCCTCACCCCTACAACGTCTCTGTAACCATGTGGATCTGACAATCAAACTGAGAGGCCATAGGTGTGCAGCCCATAAATAAACCAGGAGGGAGATAAACCAGAAAAAGATGAGTATAGGGCTTACACAGATCAAAAAGAAAATATCTCTGCAAAACCCAGTATTCATATGCCAACGTTTTACATATGTACCCTGAGTAGGCAGAGACAACTAGAAAATACAGCCTACTATACTTCTGATCCTGAAAATTCAGGGGAAAATGATGTAAATAGCAGAGAAACATTATCACATATAAAAGCTTTACCCCATGGCATGAGTATTCATGCTTGTCATGGATGTGTGAGCCAATCAGAATGCTCAACACTGAATGGTCCAGGAGTAGTCATGTGACCTAGGTTAGACCAGACTCCTTCCCTACAATTTTTCAAACTAGAGCAGAGGGAAAGGTTCCTTTTTTTTTGCCCCCAAAAACCAAAGCTTTAAAATTATAAGTTAATTAGCCTACAGCCATGTGCTCCCACAACATGCAGAAGCTGATCTGAGATGATGCAGTCAGCGTGCTGAGGGAAGGAGATGCAGGGACTGAGAGCACAGAGGTGTCTCTCTTCCCCAGAACAGTCGTCCACCCAGGCCACGCTACCTTGCCCTTCCCAGTCATAAATTTCCCAGCTCACATCAGCAGTTTGAGAGTTTAGGAGTTCATTTTATGAGTGTGAGAGTATGTAAAACTGGAGATCAAGATACGATGCACTGGCCTTGACTGGCATGGCTCAGTTGGTTGAGCGTCATCCCACAAATCGAAAGGTCTCCGGTTCAATTCCCAGTCAAGGCACATGCCTGGGTTGTGGGCTGATCCCTGATTGGGGAGCATATGAGAAGCAACCGATCGATGTTGCTCTCTCACATCGATGTATCTCTCCTCCTCTCCCTCCCTCCCTTTCCCTCTCTCTAAAAGTAAATAAATAAAATTTTTTTTAAAAAGACATTATACATTTTTACGACTCTACTGGAGTTCACGTGCACAAGATGTGATCCCTGTATCTGAGAAACATCAAAAAGCAGGCAACATAAACTGATGTTACATGGAAACATGGACAATACACGCCCATTAATGACAGGGTTGTACATTCGTGTTTCAGCGATGGGTGGGAACTAGAGGTGCTTCACAGCCTACTCCAAGGGCATTCCATTAAAGAACGGCATTGTCTGGAGTTTTCAAGGATAGAGCAGACGTGAATAAGCGTCCAGAAAGAGGGAGCGGCCTTCATGGATTTGGAATGTCCTGTGCCACTGGATGGAGGTGAGAGTTCTGCTCCCACACCCAGCCCCACCCAGCCCCCTCCCAGGCGAGGGGAGGCCACGAATGCATGGCTGACTCAACCCTGCCCGTCATGCAGGCAGCAGTACTATCCTAAGTTCCTGGAGGATGTTTCCAGAGGCTATGCTGCCCTGTGGAAAGACAGAAAACCTGATTCCGAGGGACTGGCTAAGACAGTCCCTTCCTAAGGCCAGGTGGACTTTACCAGGTAAATTGATAACCTAGGTGGGCAACTCTCAGGACTTCTTTCTAGGGTGAGGAAAATTTGCACGTTTAGATCTTCCCAAATGTGCTCCTTCCAGTCTTTAGGTAGCAGGCCCGGAGCCCGGATTCTCATTCTGTGTGGCCCGATGGGGCCTCCTTCACCCACTGCTATTGCTCTGTTTACACCAGCGAGGAACCTGGCTCCATCTCTGCCTTCCAGCACCCGCTGTAGAAGTGCTCGTTAAAGGGAGCTCTGTCCTAGTCTGTTGCCCTCAGGGCCCATGTCTCATTCATGGCCACCTTCCAATGCCCAGAAGAATGCCTGACCAGGAGAGGGGCCAGCGACTGTTTAGAGATAGCACGGGGATTCTCAACAAACACTTGGAAATAGTTTGCACAGAAAGTGTGCTTTCATATTTCTAGGAAAGGCTTCTTACTCATCATATTTGCAGAAAGAAAGGGGCCTCCCCCCTCAAATGGCAGAGATCTGCAAAGGCGTGAGACGTGACTCGGCACCAGGGTTCTGGTCCTCACTGGTGAACCAGCCTTGCCATCCCAGCATCTGAATACGGGGAGGACTGACACCTTCAGTCCTCAGAAGCACCTCACCATCTCAACTGTGCACAACCTGGGCTCCCAAGCGGAAGGAAGCTTCCCGGACACAGTGGCTCGTAACTCCCAGCACCTGCGCTCTGCACGAGCTGCCCTTGAATGTTCTGAGAGCCCGGAGAGACGAGGGCGTGGGCCTGTTCTGCTGAGGCTTTGCCATAAAGACCAGGAGAAGACAGAGGGAAGGAGCCTGGGCCGTCACAGACCGGGCTGGGCCACTCGGACCCTTTGAAAAACACCCACCTGGGCCTGGAAAAAGGAAGAATCCAGCTGGAGACTGGTGGTCACAGGAAACAGGCCACCCGCTTCATCATTTCTTCTGCACAAAAAGCCCTTTTGAGAGTGTGAATGGAGGCTTTATGCAGTAAGTGCTCGTCCACAGGCTAATGAACATGTGGAATGGCCTCCCAGACCAGGTTCCTGCAGCCTGGACACTGAGGTCATTCAAGAAACAATTAGATGCCATCTGGAGAAAGCTGGGACTCTAAAGGAAATTGCCTCGGAGGCCCAAACAGCATGTTTTCATTCCCAAAGTCTGACATAGCCTTATCCTCATTGACATAAAGGACGCATGGAGCTCAGCCAGCTAATCCACACTGGGAGCACAAATGGGCAAACGCAGCGGCGATTAATACTTAAGCTTAAGGATCAGGAGAGCGTTCGTTCCCCGCCCGCCCCAAGTAGATGCCTCCCTCGCCTGCACTTTCCCGCTCGAGCTGAGCCTCTGTGCCATAAACCAGGCCTTGGCCTCCCCAAGCTTGGAGTTTTCATGGTTTTAATATAAAGCAATTAGAGCAGAACAGCAATGGCTTCAGGCCCAGCTCTTTAAGGCACATAGTGAGCCGTAAAAATGAACTGATCGTACAAAACAGTGTTTACTGGGGCTTCACAAGCCACTGAGTTGTAAAGACCAGGCCCGCCACAGAGAACTCTTATTCCCAGGCTAGAATCTCAAGTTTTTCTTATTTTTAGAAAAAAAATTGAGTGTCTCTTTTCTATTCGTAATCCGTATCTTTAGATGTAAATGCAATGGTTGAACAAGCCGGTTTAAAAAATATACTCAGCTAGAGAATAATATATAGACTTAGGTGAACAAGAGGCGGTGACATGTGTTCTAAGTGTTTCTGCAGCTTCCTAACAGCTGTCACGGAGCCGGGGACCCTCCAGGACACGGTGCTCCAAGGGACATGTACACTGATGGGGAGAAAGCAATGATGGGCAAGACTGCTGGGATCTTAGCACCGAGCTGGGGAGAGGCACCAAACTGGGTAAGTAGTCACTGCATTTCTTGACCAACATATATATTTTTTAAATTTTGTTTATCATTATATATTTTTAGAGAGAGGGCAAGGGAGGAAGAAAGAGAGGGTGAGAAACATTGACATGTGAGAGAAACCTTGATTGGTTGCCCCTTACACGCCCCCAACTGGGACCTGGCCTGCAACCCACGCATGTGCCCTGACTGGGAATTAAACCAGCAACCTTTCCATTCACAGGCCAGCTGTCAGTCCATGGAGCCACACCAGCCAGGGCAAAAATTTATTTTTAAATATTAAAAGAAATTTAAAATATTTCTTTTTAAAACTGCACCTAAGAAGTCCTTGGTGTGGCAGTAGGAATTACTCACTTTATCACGTCTCTTGACCGCTCTGTGTGAGAGGCAGGAATTCCGCACACACGGCACTTCTCCCGCGTCCCCCAGCACACAGCTGTCTCCAGGGGAAGGAAGTGTGCAATTAAATTGTGAACTCAACTAGCTGCTTTTTCATGAACACCATTTTCACCTCAAAGAATGTCTGACAAGCTCCGGTTGCTCAGACATGGGTATTTATCTGGCATGCCTTTGCCAGAAAATGAACAAAGTGAGCCTGTCGCTTCAAGGAAAACAACTGAACAGTATTTGTTGCCAATGATAAACTTGAGCTTTCAATGGAAATTAAATTTGGGGAAACTTGTATTCGCCACCATGAGTTTGACAGCTTCCCAATACTTTCATGATTTTTCTGATGTGTAGGGATAGTAGCGAATGTGAGTCTTTGATACTGTAGAGGGAAACATGCTAACATTTGAAAGACCCGAATAACTCAATAGACCAATATTTTTCAAATGGCCAATGCACAGTGGTCCAAAATCACACATGGTTTGTAAAAGATCCATTGAAATTGCCAGATGGACCAGTGGATTTTTAAGAGAACAGAGTAAGACAAAAAAAAGTTCATTAATATGGCTTCAGATTCCACGTTGCAATTAACCTTTATAAAACTACAACTTTTTAGCATGACCTCAAAGGAATTGTATCTTTAATCATCTGAAAAGTCTATTAAAGTATTTACCAGGGGGGTTCAGGGGTGGGTGAAATGGTTGAAGGGGGTCAAAAGGTACAAACTTCCAGTCGGAAATGAGTAAGTCACGGGAATGTGGTGTCCGGTTCGGCGACTGCAGTTAGTATGACTGCACTGTGTATTTGAAAGGAGCCAGGAGAGTGGGGCTTGAAGGCTCTCATGACAAGAAGAAAGTTTTTTGTAAGAACTATGTGTGGTGACGGGTGCTAACTGGACTTACTGTGGTGGTCATTTGCAATATGTACAAATATTGAATCATCGCACTTTACACCTGAAACTAACATAATGCTATGCCAACTATACCTTAATTCAAAAATATTCTTCCTCTCTTAAACTACGTATCTGTGCAAAGCCTGATTTTCTTCCAACTTCAAACAGATTGAAGGCAGAGATGAGAATCCAGCTGCCTTCCTTCAGACGAGACGCTGTGGAGATGTGCACAAACGTAAAACAGTGCCTTTCTCCTTGCTAAATTCAGTCTTGCAAAATTATTATTTTTAACAAAAACTGTTATTTATAGTCACATGATGGCTTTATTATTAGGAGAAACTAAATACTAAAATTCCCATATTTTAAGTTGTAATTCAATAAACCGATAACTAAAACTGACATAACAAAAGCTCTTTTGAGGCCCTTAATCTTTAAGAGTGAAAAGGGATCTTGAGAGCAAAGAGATTGAGAACGTTTGCTCTGACACATCTAAGCTACTTGTTTTACACAATTTCCATTGAGCCATAGTTCTTAGCATCACCTATAGAGCAGACTAAGGTATTTAAATAAGGGGGTGTTTTTATTTTTATAAGTAACTATCATAAAGGCACTGATGCTTATTAGAGTAAATATGGAAACAGAAATGTGAAGAATGAAACAAAAACTCCGTAGTTGCCAGGAACTTAACTTTGACCTACTACCCCACACTCAGTGGTTCTACCATGGTTTCCATCCCACAGAAGTTCCCACACAAGCGCACACCAAGCCATCTGCGTCGAAGGCCACACCGTCTTTCCAGCGCAGCGGTTCACCCCTCTTTGCTCCCGCCCTGCATCCTGTCCACCAGGAAACCTTGATTATATACCCTGAATCTCCTTTCTTCACCACCCGTTCTGCTATCACAGGTCCCAACTACCATAAGCTCTCATCTGGACAGTCACAATGGCCACCCTACAGCTCTCCCTGCACCCAGCCGTCTGCTAGCAGCCAGAAGCCAAAGTGACCCTGAGACGGCTCCCCATCTCCCTCTGTAGGTCAGTGTCCTCACTCAGACACAGAAGCCCCATGCAGTCTGCCTCGCCCGCCTTCCCCAACTTCTCAGATCAGCTTCCACCATTCCCGCTCAAGTCCACCCGCTCTGGCCGCTCTGGCCTCAGAGTTGTTCCTGAAGGGAAGAGGTGAACTCCAGCTCCGTGGCCTTTCTCTGTCCTTTTCTCTTTAGACAACAGACTCGACTTGCCCCTCCACTCAGAAGTCACCTTTCCCATGAAGCCTTGCCTGCCCACCCTACTAAAAATTTAACGCTCCCTTACCCCAACATTTTGCAGTTCCTTCCCCTGATGCACCTCTCCTGCTTAGCACTCATCACTGCCTAATGTGGTTTACTTAATTGTCTTCCTTATCGTCTCCCTCCTCCACCTCCAAACATAAGATCCACAGAGGCAGGGACACTGTTTTGTCCACTGCTGTATCCTTGGCTCCTAGGACAGTGACCAGCAGATGGCAGATACTCAATAAATACTTGTTAAATTACTATGACATACAAAACAAACATGACTATATTTGTTAAATAACCGCAAAACTGTTTTTGATAAGAAAACATGAAAAAGAACCCATATGTCAGTAGGGAATTGGTTAAATATAGTTGTATCTTATACAGTGTGATACCAGATAGCCATTCAAGAGAAAGGTAGATCTATTTATTTAACATGAAGTCCAATGAAAAAAAAGTAAGTTGCAAAGCAATATGTAGTTGTATAGTATTTTTTTTATCAATCAATCAATAAATATTGTTTCTCAACTCAGCCTTCTTGATCTCCTAACAGTTGCACCCTCTCAGATTTCCCAAGAGCCCCTGAAGCTTCCTCACTTCCTCGCTCTCAACTCAGGAAATAAGAGAGCACCCACGCCTGCTAAAGGGCACCTCCCGCAGGGCTTCTCCCGAAGCTCCGCCCTGCCCAGCTCCGCTCAGTCTGGGCTAGGGTCCCACAGGCGTGGGGTCTTCCCCGCGAATCTCTAGCACGTTGATGATGTCTTTGGCCTTACCCCGTATCAGCCTCCTTCCTGTCATGCTACCATTTTTTTTGGTTGTCAAATCAAAATTCAAATAAAATTTTCAAAGGAAATTTCTTGTTCACCACAGGTAAAACTTCAAACCAACACCAACCCCCTGTAAAATCTACATATCATATCACAGCATCTTAAACCTTTTTGCCTAAGAATGTTAGACAATAATTCTAATGCCTTGAAAATTTTAATGTCTTATATGAAGTCAATAAAAACCACTTGCATTTTTGTACACTTTAAACACAGCTCTTAGTCTGAAGTTGTAAATGTAACACTATTATTATACATTTAATGTGAAAAGCTCCCAGAATATTTAGAAACTGAATTGTTAAATGCTGCACTGTTGTGACATTTGATAACCACTAGAGGGCAGAGCTTAACAGCAAATGCTTCCCATGCTAAAAAGCCTGAGGACTGAAGAATTATTGGGACCTCCTAACAAGATCTGCACCCCTATGTTTATTGCAGCATTATTTACAATAGCCAAGAATTGGAAGCAGCCCAAGGCACATTTACACAATCAAATACTGCTCAGCTGTGGAAAAAAAAGAAAAAAAGGAATTTTACCCTTTGCAACAGCATGGATGGACCTGGAGAATATCATGCTAAGTGAAACAGGTCAGTCAGAGAAAAACAAATACTACAGGATTGCTCTTATATGTTTCATGCAATGGACAAAATAAACCAACAAACAAAATAGAAACAGAATTAATTATAGATACATAGAGCAGACTGACAGCTGTCAGAAGGGAGGAGGGTTAGGGAGCTAGGTGAAAAAGGCAAAGGAATTAAACAAAAAATAAAAAATGAAACAGACACGCAGACAACAGGGTGGTGATTACCTGAGGGAAAGCGGGTGGGGGAGGAGGAAGAGGGCAAAGGGCGGGACAGACGGTGGTGCAAAGAGACTTGGGGTGGCAAGGGCATGATGCAGTGTGCAAGTGGTGTGCGACAGAGGTGTGCACTTGAAACCTGTGTGGTTTTATTAACCACCGTCAGCCCGATAAATTCAATTTAAAAGAAGATCTCCTGAGGAACTGAAGGGTCTGAGCCACAGAGGTGCCAACAGTGGCCTCACAGTTTTTGTTCGAAAGCAGATTGGTAAGAGAAGGTAGATTAAAGTTAGGTGAGGGGCATTTTTGCTGTCAAGAAATAAAATCACTGAAGAATTTCTGGAAAACTTTTAGCAATATTAAGTGTTACTTGCTTTGGGAAACCTTAAAATCTTTGGAAGAAGCTCATCTCCTCTTCTCTCAGTTCAAACGCCCTTTGCATCTGGCTGTGTGTGGTCACCGGTCAGCCTGTCAGTTACTAAATACGGGGAGGGGCAAAAGTAGACTTACAGTTGTAAGTACAGGAAACACAGAGTTTACGCTTATATTGTCATTTATGAATTATCGTGTTACTTTCCATACAGACAATGTGAACCTACTTTTGCCCCACTCAGCATTTATTGAGAGGAGAAGGGAAGGTCCCTGTGCTCAGCACTCACACTCTAATGAGAAGTCAGGGTTTCAGTAAGTAAACAAATAGAAATCGGGACAAGGGCTGTGTGGGTATCCCACAGAGAAATGAGACGAGGCAGGCTGCTTTGAGCAGGGGGTCAGGAAGATCTCTCTGCGGCTGTGAAATCTGAGTCAAGACGGACCAGCCACACAGAGAAGCAGGGGGACAGTCCCTCAACTAGTATTTACTGAGCACTGGCTACATGGCAGGTGCTGCACTAACAACACTGTGTGTTCACTTGTCTGATTCCTACATTCTCCCGTTGACCGTTGAGGAAACTGAAATCCAGGGAATTCCAGACACTGGCTCAAAGCCACACAACCAGGAAATGGTTAAGACGGGACTTTGCATCTTACTGGTTTCCTGGGGATGTCGTAATAAATTACCACAAACTTGGTGGCTTTAAAATAGAAATTTATTCTGATAGTTCTAAAATTAGCAGTCCAAAACCATGGTGTCAGCAGGGCTCTGTCCGAGGGATCTGAGGAGGATTCTTCTCGGCCCCCCCAGCTCATGGGGGGTCGTCCTCGGTGCTCGCTGGCCTGTGCACCCATCAACCCCAGTCTCCGCCTCCATGGTCACATGCAGGGCACTGTCCCTGCATGTTGTGTCTGTGTCTTAATTCCTCTCTTCTTTTAAGGACACCAGTCACTGGATTAGGGCCCACCCTAGTCCAGTATGACCTCATCTTAATTTGATCATATCTGCAAAGACCTAACTTCCATATAAGGCCACATTCAAAAGTACTGGGAAGTTAGGACTTCACATATTTTTTGGGGGAGACATAATTCAACCAACAACAGCATCTTAGCACCCACTTCAAACCACTCAGCTGTTCTACCTCAAAACAACCTTTCAAGGCCAAGACGGGGGGGGGGGTAGGAAAAGCCAACATGGAGGAGTATAGAGACTAAGGGGGATGGTGGGACATGAGGTAAGAGGTAGGCAGACTCTGAAGTCCAATTATAAAGCTGAGTCTAATCAGAAGCCATAGCTTCACTTCTTGCTTGCATGTTAGTTTTCTAGTCTCTTCACCACCTTGCATACTGTTTGGGACGTCAAAAGAGTCCTTTTCCTTCAGCCGAGGACGAAGGCTGCAGCACAGAACACGAATGTGAATCTGGCCTCGTTCCATTCACAGGCTAGAAGCAGGCTCCTTCCAGCACCTCCAGGGGGCAGCTCAGGGTTTGACCTTGACTTAAACTGTCCATTTCCAGAGGCCCTGGGAGAATTCACATCTGACTTGGGACACAGCGAAAACTCTTTCAGGCTGCACAGGCAGAGCGGTATCTGACCTGAGGAGTTCGCCAGGCAAGCCCTAGGCAAGGGCAGTCAGGATTCGGGCACCTGTTCAACCAGTGGAGCTGAAGATGCTGTGATGGACGCAGCGGAGAGAGGCTGCTCCGAGCAGACGGGTCCACCTCGAGAGACGCTGAGATGCATCCAAGTAGAGCCATGCCGCGCAGCACTGTCCCTCATAACGCCAGGTCACAGAGCTTGCATGAGGACTCGCTGCTGTGCCATCAGGCAGGTGAGCGTGCTGCCCATGATGCAAGGACGCATCACCCCAAGGAAGTGGGGGGCATGAAAACGTGGGATTCCTACTGAAAGCCCACGACACACTACTCGGAGGCAAACCAGGGGCAGTGTATGTGCGTCCAGTGTAGAGCAGGGGTCAGCAAACCCTTCCTGCAAAGGGGCCAGACAGTGACTATTTCAGGCTTTGCCATCCATTCTGCTGTAACTGCTCAACTCGACCATTATGGGGGCCACATGCAATTGAATGGATGTGGTTGTGTTTCTGTCAAACTTTATACTCCCATTGAAATTTGAATTTTATAATTTTCACAACCTTCTTTTGATTTTTTAAAAAACATCAAAAAAATATAAGATCAATTTTTAGCTTGAGGGCCATACAGTAGCAGGTGGCAGGCCAGCTTTAGTCTTAGGCTGTAGTTTGCCGAATCCCCCCTCCCACCCCCAATCTAATGATATACCCAAATGCTTGTGAATTAACTCAGTGACATTGTGGCAATAAGGCCTCCAATTGGAAATCTTTCCTCCCCTGGAATAGTTTACGGGTTTCTGGCAAGAAGCCAGGCACTCGTGTGAACTCTGGAACCGACCCTGGCTTCCTCTCCCTCACCTCCTGCATTTAGGTCCCAACAGGAACGGTCAACTCACCTAATACATTGGCTCTAAATTCTATCTCTAAAAGGCCTCCAGCACCGGCCCTGGCTTTCCATTCCCGCTGCCGACAGACCTTCCTGTTACCCACCACAGTTCACTGAGAAATTACTAACACGTGGCGCACGCTCCCAACTCCACGGAGAGAACCGGCCCAGTAAGACCCACAAGCTCAGCATTTTCTCTGTCTGATCAGCAGTCTGCCATGGCCCATCTGAAAATCAGAACTCTGGCAACACCTAAGAGCTAAAATATAAGGCTTTAGCTTGCTTTTAAAAAGTCAGCCTCAGTGAGGTATAATTTGCAAACAGTAGGAGGTACCCTTTTAAGCACAGTCCTGGGAGCTTCTGAAACCACTACAGCCAAGGTACTTCTACTACCCCGCCAAGCTCCCCCTCCCCTTACCTGTTTTTACCCACTGAATGTTTTCTACTGCTGGAAGTGTTTGCATGCATCCGAGACTCCGCCCCTTTCGTGGCTGAGTGGCAGGCCCCAGTGCGGGCGTGGGTGTGCCGCTCTCCACCCACTTGCGGCTGCAGGGCACTGGAGTTGTTTCCAGCTTTTGTCAATGATAAACGATGTGACTGTAAACACTCACGTACAGATGTTTAGATGGGCGCATGTTTTCACGAAAAGGTTTTATTTTCTGTGGCCACCCTGTCACAGACCCATGCGTGAGACAGGATCGCCCTGAAAGGGGGACTCCGTGAACACCCTCCGCCCCTGTTCTTGTCTTCCCGCCCTGCCTCAGCAGCTTTCAGTAACCGTAGTGACGCTGAACTGCCCAAGAATATTCGCCGGGAGAAGCTGAAGCCCGGTGCTCTGCAGGCCAGCCCCAGAGCCAGCCGGGCTGCGGCACATTTGCTGCGGGCAGAGTTGGATCTGGTCCCACGGGGGACGGTGCTGGCTCTGTGGGTGTGCACGCTCAAGCGAAAACCTGCAGAGCCAGCCAATCGGGCCATTATTTGGTTCATATAACTTGTTAAAATCTCACGGAATGTACAGCGTGCCATTGTTTTTGGAAGTCCCTTTTGTGGCTTTGTTAGCTGGCTAATTCAGAGCAGACCAGCTCGTTGGAAGAAAAGACTTTCCTCAAAGACAGCTATTTAACCATGACCGTGGCTGCGGCCATCTTGAGCACAAAGGGGGAGCTGAAGTCATGCTGCACCACCCCCTGCCCAGGTCTCCCACAACCAGGGCGCTTATTCTTGGCGCTGGAATTCGCATAATTACTCCTCTTTTAATCTGCTGGTGACCTAATGCAGCTCCAGCCAACGGCAGGAAAGGCCTTGCTGAGATCTGAGCCTTAGGCAGTCTATCGTGTCTGTAAGAGCCCCTTGGAAAGAATATTTGCGAAGTGTTAACCCCATAAAGCACTCATTTCTGAGCGGCTCTGGGCTCCTGAGCTGCTCAAGCCCCCTCTGCAGGAAGGGGGGTATCGAAGGGAGCTGGTCC